AATATACTATTTCAGTACTGAATTAAATTCATAAATATGTAGCAATTATTATTAATTATTGTTTTTATTTTATTCATTTAAATTAAATTTCCAATGTCCTGAATTTTCCTCATATCAATTAATTTCTATGAAATAATTTTACTGAAATTTACGGCTTCTATTGACTTTTCTATGAAATTTTGAATATTCAATAACGAAAGTTCTTGAAATTCCAGTGGAACTATAATGCGATAAGAATTTCCAAGAACACCATGGATAAATATATAAGAAATAAAATATGATAGGAGCCATCTTCATATATTCCTCGCAATGCGTATTAAATATCTCCAAAAAATAACGTCTTTCACATGTTCCGCACACGAACTGGGCCAATTTCCCGCATTTAAAATTAATTTCCCAAAATATATTTTTTCCTCGTGGGTCCCCCTCCTCCCACACATGTGCAAGTATCTCCCTCAAGATGAATTCTTGATTTTACAGACGTCGCCGACAACGTGAAGCCATAAGCGGCTGCAAAAGACACGGCGAACGCGTCGAGAGACACATAAATAGTGTATCCTACATAGACAGAGTAGCGAGGGTTGTTTTTCCCGCATCATTCGGACTGTTGAATGTTTTTTACTGGCTCGTCTACGTCACTTACCAGGAGGAATTCAAGTGGCAGGACCCGCCGCTCGGCTCAGTGTCACATTAGAATCAACAAAGTCAAAGCCACCAGAAGTCGTTTCAAATATTTGACTCGATATCGACTTTATCAGTCGCATTATTTGTTGTTTCCTCGATAATTCGGCACCTGTTGACTAGATCTTCGTATTTCTATTGTGAATAGTATCGGTCAAGTTATTCGTATCGATCGGTGAAACCTTTGTAATGTGTATTCAGTGAATGATAAGTAAGGAGATTGTTATTGAGAGATGTATGGAATTTGGAAACATATCGTGAGACCAGAGGACATGTATTTAAATCATTATTATTTCGGGGGGAGAGACCCCTGCTCTCTCCGTTCGCCAACCCCCATGGGACACCCCGGACCCTTTTCTGACCCTTGTGACCCTTAATCTGGCCCTCGTAATCCTTATTTTGACCCTTCATTTTCGAGTCTTAATTTCGAGTGCCAAATTTTCATCACTAGAAGTCGATTTGGGATTTTATAATATAGAGAGAATCCCATATGACTCCCACGAACCTTATTCTGACCCTTGTGACCCTTAATCTGGCCCTCGTAATCCTTATTCTGACCCTTCATTTTCGAGTCTTAATTTCGAGTGCCAAATTTTCATCACCAGAAGTCGATTTGAAATTTTATAGAGAGAATCCCATATGACTCCCATGAACCTTATTCTGACCCTTGTGACCCCTCATTTGATCCTTCATTTTCGAGTCTGAATTTCGAGTACCATTGTAAAGCTAATAAATCCTATACGGATTTCTAATGCATTAATAAAAAAAAAAAAAAAAAATCGAGTACCAATTTTTCAACATCTGAAGTCGATTTGGATTTTTATCTGTTGACGGGGCCTCTTGATCTTTTTTATTGTTACAAATGGAATAATAATGAAAATGATTAATTTCTTGTTTGATTTTATGTAATCGTTTGATGATCTGATATAATCGTCGACTGTAAAAAAATTTGGCAAAATGCGATTTTCTTACTTTGGAATTTTTGTCAATCGTTTGATTGTGATTTAGGAAATTAATAAATGAGAAATAAATCGTTTCACGATAAAATAATTCATTTTCAAGAGTCATCTGTTCCTCAGGCGATGGAACAATCAGAAAGGAGACTTCTTATTTCGGCATTTCCGTCACACAATTTAGTTTGTAATTGAATTCAAGTCCAGAATACTGAGAATTCAACTGCATCTATTACTTAAATTTCAAAAAATTCCGCTTCGAATGAATATCGGCGCTATTTCCCTGCTGAATGTGCGTCCGATGTTCAATCCGATAATTTTATTATCAGCAGCTGCTCCGGGGAGTCTCGATGTTTTGTTGTCACTACACTAGGTAATGAAGTTCGTTGAATGAAGGGGTAACAGCACGCCGGTGACTTTTTAAATTTTTCACCAAATTTCCAGCCGAGCGTCATCGATATTTTAAAAAATCGAAGCACATTAATTTGCAGGAGGCGATGACGGAGATCAACGTGCTTTAGTTTCGACAAATCTTGACAACTTTGCGCAGGAAATTTGTTTGAAATTCTCCACTTTATCATCAGCGATGGAATGCATGAGTCGAATGCAAGAATTATTTTTGTCGTCGGTTGCATGTCCTAAAGATTGCCGATGGACGCAGAATGGGATGGCTAATCGTCTGACGGTACACTATACGCACTACTTAACAGTCGATACAACAGGTTCTTAGAAGCCATGCGCGGGACAATGTTTTTCAAATTTGCGCGGTAATTCATGTTCACTCATATCATAACTACATGCATAAGATTTTACATTTTACAACTCGATAATTTGAACGGAAACCAAGAGCTTTATCAACTGGTTTTAGTCAAAAGCATGGCGAGGGACAAAATGCAAACAAAGATCATTGGCGACTTCATCAAGATCGTTTTTTAAGCTTCATAATGAGAATTTATTCATCCGAATCGTGCTATTCGGTGCGGAGGCATTTCCGATTGAAGATGGCCCATGTTAACCCATTTTCTAAATTACTGAACAATTTAGGTAATCGGAGAATAAAATGGAATTTAGGAATTTTCATTTGAAATCCAGAAAAAAATGTGTGACAGACGATAATTTTGCCGCTTTGTAATGTAATTTTCACCAGCGAACAGTAAAATTTCTGAGCGGCTGGTGAAAAAGCACCCAAAAGACAGTTTAATTCGTTTTTACTCTACAGGTTCGATAATTTTTCACTGCCATTTCCTACTAATTTTTATTAGTTTTTTTCTCAGTGCAATATCATTCGAATATAATCCGTCGAAAACTTCGTAATTCGTCCACCAAATGCTGCAAATCATTAGTTACATTATCACTTTTTACAATCTCTAATTCATTTAATTTCCGACATCAGCACACTTCACCATTCTTCGTCCTTTGATCGCGTGAGAAACTCACATTTTCACGGAGAGAAATATTCAGAAAAAATTACGTATCCGTAATTCCGGAGCGAAATGTGGTTGCAGGAAATTTTACGGAACTGTCACGGAATTTTTCCAGAGTGTTCCGTAATTTTTATCTGAATCTCCGGTGAAAAATTGCGATACCGTCACTTAAATTTTCTGAGTCGATTCCGTAATCGATGAGCGAACTGTGAGTTTCGTAATTTTTACTGAATATTTCTCTCCGTGAATTCGATTCTCGTTTCAGAATCACCGGGAAGTTGATACATGTACCCAACATGAATGAAAAATATAGGAATTGATGACAACAAAATAGCATTTCTTTGAATCTTAAAAACAGTGAAAAAAGTTCAAGTGTTCAATTTTCCAAACACTTTATTTTTTAACAATTTCCAGAGATATGAGCCCATGAACGTGTCATGCAGATTCAGTCACATTTTTTCTTCCCTAAAGTCGCGAAAAATGTAGAGGAAACTTTGAATGGAAAATGCCTACAGCAAACTAGTGACGAAAAAATATTTGAAAAGCGTCGAAACAGTTTAGAGAGGAGTTTCTTGCTCATTATTATTATTGACGCTGTCGGCATTTACCTGGGACTCCTAGGAACCAGTTTGGACACCGAAAATTACAGGCTCTTGCGGTGCGAGCCTCCGAGGCTCATTCGAACCGCCGCTTTGAATAGGATATTGGCCACTTGGGTCGAGATTATCAGGCCCGTGTTCTGGTTCGTGTTTTGCAACGGTCATTCCAACAATAGCAATGCTCAGGTTAACGTATGATAAAATGTGGTGCTCCATCGATTACAAAGGTGCGCAAATTTCTAGGTACAATAGAAAAACTGTTAGAAATTTTTTTTTAAACAAGCAGTAGTTCCACTTGAAGTTCTGCCCCCCGTCGAGCCCCCCTCACCCCCACCCCCTTCGCCAATCGCCAAGCCCTCAGTCCCACAGTCTTATCAATCCGAAGAAGTGCAGAAAAACGTGAAGTTTATTTAATGAACAGATATCTCACTGTTCCCCACTCGCCGATACAGCTCAGTTTTTTTTTCCACTCATATACTGTAACTTCCGCCAATAGTAAAGCCAATGTCCCTTCAATGATAAGTTTATTATTGTTTGGCGCCTGTTTTTCATGCCCAACTAAACTAGACCGGTGACACGTTTTTACTTAATAGTCTCGACCTGCGCAAAAAACCGCCATCTAGGCTCATAAAAACAATGCAAACCGCACAAAGTGCCTCGTAAAATCGCCAACATAATAAGAACGATAAAATTACTCTTGTAGAGTGTATTTTGCTTTTTATTTCGAGATTTTTTACCTTTTTATCTAGGAAAAATACAGCTTTAGACAAATCTCCCTGACATGCGAAAATATGTCTTCATGCAACTTTTAATCTAAAAATCAGGAATGAATGTTTAAATACTCAAATGCGTTTTCCACTAAAATAGTAATATTTTTTAAAAATGTGATGTGAATTTCAGTACGAGTTCCAAGGTAATTTTTAACGATATCATGAGGACTTGGTTATTTCTTACATAAATGACTCAAAAAAAACATGAACCTGTGGGAAATCCCCCCAACATCTCATCTCAAACACAATGCAAAAATCATGAAAAAAAAGTCGCCGGAATGTCGCCCGGGATGACTGCATGCGCGGGAAGATCATTGCTGGCTGCTTCGATTGGGTTTTAAAACTACCAAAGAAATGATGAAGAAGCAGCAGGACCACATCCACAGGGTCTCAAGATCCCTTCATGGTACCGCCCAAATACACTTTTTCCCTGGTATGTTTCACATGGGTTTTGAGACACCAGTATATGCCTCATCGTAATTACAGAATTCACGTTTGTCCACATTTGTCATGTTAACGGAACGAGCATTTCGTGATTGGCATTCACATTGGTTTTGGCAATATTGTTGTATCGCCAACTGCCGATTAACACAACAAAATCCTTTGCTATTGTACTTTCTTGGCAAAACCACTTCTTCATTCAATCCTTCACTTCATTGTTGAACAATACAAAGACTGTTGATCGAGTTCTTGAAAAGTCGAATCGTGAAATTCAAACTTTTTGAGCAGCAGGAAGACAAGTTCCTCGACTTACTTAAATTTTCAATTAAAATATCCACAAAATGTTAATTTACGTTCGTCACAGTTGTGATGTTACCGGAACAAGCTTTTCTTCATTCAGTCCTTTCATTCATTGTTGAACAATACAAAGACTTGATGATCGAGTTCTCGAAAACGACGTACGAAGCTTCGGCGAGGACTTCTCGCCTTCCTTAAACTTTCAAACAAACTATCAACAAAATATTAATTCACGTTTGTCCACATTTGTCATGTTATCGGCCCCAACAATTCGTGATTGGCATTTACATGGCTCTTAACAACATTGTCGTAAGGCCAACTGCCCATTACCTCAACAAAATCCCTCACTATTGTACTTTCTTGGCAAAACCACTTCTTCATTCAATCCTTCACTTCATTGTTGAACAATACAAAGACTGTTGATCGAGTTCTTGAAAAGTCGAATCGTGAAATTCAAACTTTTTGAGCAGCAGGAAGACAAGTTCCTCGACTTACTTAAATTTTCAATTAAAATATCCACAAAATGTTAATTTACGTTCGTCACAGTTGTGATGTTACCGGAACAAGCTTTTCTTCATTCAGTCCTTTCATTCATTGTTGAACAATACAAAGACTTGATGATCGAGTTCTCGAAAACGACGTACGAAGCTTCGGCGAGGACTTCTCGCCTTCCTTAAACTTTCAAACAAACTATCAACAAAATATTAATTCACGTTTGTCCACATTTGTCATGTTATCGGCCCCAACAATTCGTGATTGGCATTTACATGGCTCTTAACAACATTGTCGTAAGGCCAACTGCCCATTACCTCAACAAAATCCCTCACTATTGTACTTTCTTGGCAAAACCACTTCTTCATTCAATCCTTCACTTCATTGTTGAACAATACAAAGACTGTTGATCGAGTTCTTGA